CCACACCCCCCCTCCTCCTCCCATGTGTGTTTTTGCAGAGGGGCCCGGTGGGTCCAAGAGGCCCCCCGGGACCACCCGGAATCGCCGGCGTACCCGGCGTGGACGGCATCGATGTGAGTTTTCGCCGTCGTACGCGATCCCCGATTCTTTGGCGGAAACACGAGCTCGGTGGCGTGCCGGCGACAAGGCCGCTCGGAACGCCATCAAAGCCTCTTAGCCTTTCAAAGCCCCCCACAAACTTGCGTGCGTGTGCGTTTTGGGGGGGTGGGAATTTAAAGGAGACGTGATGGATCATGAGTTGCCTTCATTTCAAAGAGTTCTCAGGCGTTTTTTTACGTCGCGAGATGTTTCAAGGTGAAAGGAATCGGAGGTGTAAAAGCAATCAGCGCTCCCAACAAAATTCAGCGCCGCTGCGCTTAGCTCCCGATTTGGGGCATGGCGGTGCTCCCCCAACGGCGTCGTCCGTTGGCGCTTTGCTGTCACGGTAGCAGCCTCGCTCGCCCGTTAACTGCCGTTGACGGCGACAGTTTTTTGTGGGTCTACTTGTGACAGGACACGTTGCTCAATCAAATGGGGCTCGGAGGCTGAATGTCTTCATGATTCCGATCCTAAAATGGCTTCTTCAAATGCGAATGGCAGACTTCCCGCGTCTTTCCAGACTTGGCTCCTTCAGACTTTTGTTTAAAAAATTTTTGTCTGCCTTTTAATGCCCCAAATTCGTCTCAAAGAGCCACAGAGGGAGAGCGAGAATGGCCGACTTCCTCTGAGCATGTGTGTGTGACTTCTTGAGAGTTTTGGGTGGCTCCCCCCCGCAAGAGCAAATTTCCCGCCGCTTCATCAAACTGGACAATTTTCAAATTGATTACAACTAGGCCCATTTTTTGGCGGTTGGGGGGGGTGTGTGTGTGTGTGTTCAGGGCGAGAGAGGAGTGGACTCCACAGTCAACGGCGGACCGGTGAGTGACCACCCACACACACACACACACACACACACGCATGCGCACCCACCCACTAAGATCTCATCCTGCTTTTTTTTTTTTGCAGGGTCCTGCCGGGGAAAACGGCAAAGACGGAGCTGGCGGGGCTGCGGGACTTCCGGGAGCAGACGTAAGTGGAGCGACGACATAAAAAAAATAAATAAATAAAAATAATAATAAAAAAAAAAAAAACCAGAGCAGGGCAAGATGGAGACAAGCGTGCGGCTTTGAGCGAGCGGCGACCGGGCGCGGGCGGGGGCGGCC